CAACGTTGCAAAGTTGCCACTTGCCACATGGTAATCGTGGGCTGACTATGAGGCATAGCTACTGTTGGTGTCACATAGCTTACCTCGTTACCTCGTGGGCAACTATTAGCCTATCTTATATTTATGTAAACTATTAGATTTATTGTATACTTGAGGGGTGTATACTGTATCATTTTTCTAGTATTTATATAAGATAACTCTCATGCCTATTGGTGTGGTATTCCATTCATTACATGGTATCAAGAGCCCTTCAACCCCTCCCTTCCTCTCCCTCCTCATAACCGACTCCTCCATTGTTTCCGGCAATCTCACCATGGCCGGCTCCTCTAATGACTCCACCCTCCCAATGAACACCCTCATTCATCTCATCACCATTCGTCTGTCTTCTTCCAATTATCTTTTGTAGGTAAATCAAATGGTTCCCCTCCTAAATTATCAACATCTCCTTGCACATGTCGATGGCTCCTCGGAAGCTCCACCCACTCATCATACCGTGAACGCCAAGCAAGTTGAGAATCTGGCCTTTGCAGAATGGCAAGCCATCGATCAACGCACGATTCTTCTCCTCCAAGCCTCCCTCATGGAGGAAGCTTTTTCTGAAATCGTGGGTTTTTCCTCCGCCCACTCCATATGGACTGCTTTCGAATCCGCCTATGGAAACTCCTCCATGGAACGGGTTTAAAATCTACACGACCAACTTCGGCTTCTCTCCAAGGGTGACTCTCTCGTTTCTGATTATGGTTGCAAGTTCAAGGCCATTTGTGACCAACTAGCGGCTATTGGTCAAGTCGTTGATGCATCCGACAAATGTCATTGGTTTTTATGTGGCCTCGGCGGTAGTTTTGAAGCTTTTTCCATTGGGGTTCGCACCTCGCGTATCACTCACTCATTCCGGGATCTCCTTGCGCAAGCCGAAAGCCATGAATTGTTCATCAAATCGATCCATGGGCAGCCCACCCCTGCAGTCGCCTTTTCTGTTGTTTCAGCGCCTAGCGAGGCTGCTCCCGCGTTTTCTGTTGGCCGGGGTCGCAGTGGTGGCTCCGGTGGTCGTGGTCGCGGACGTCGGCCTTCTCATTGCCAACTATGTTGACTAAATGGGCATTTTGCTAGTACTTGCCCTCGACTTTCCACTTTTGCATCTAACTCTATTCCAAATGAAAGGGACTTGACGAAGGCGTTTTTAGCGAATTGTCGCATCACTCCACCCGCTCCAAATTGGTATGTTGACTCCGGGGCCTCGGACCATATGGTCTCCTCCTCGGGCTCGGTCACTCAATCCGAGCCTTTCCATGGCAACGGTTCGATTCATTTTGGTAATGGTACAACTCTTCCAATTACCTCTATTGGGACTTCTACTCTCACAAATCGTATTAAATTGCGAGATGTTTTAGTTGTTCCAAAACTTACTAAAAATTTATTATCTGTTACCAAGTTTACTTCTGATAATGATGTCGATGTCCTTTTCTCGAAAAATCCATGTTCTATTCAGGATCCGGTCACGAAGAAAATTCTAGCACAAGGAAGGCATGACCGCAGGCTCTATGTTCTCCCCAATAAACCGGTGGCTTGTTCGTTGTTTGCTACTAAACGTCCCACCGCATCTTTTGAATTATGACACTCCCGTTTAGGGCACGTGAATTTTGATGTTATTTCTAAATTGAATAAAGATGGTCATGTAATGGTTTCTTCTATTTTACCAAAACCCGTTGTATGTTCTCCTTGTCAACTTGCCAAGTCTCATCGTATGCCCTTTGAGATTAATGACCAACGTGCCTCACAGGTCTTGGATTTAATTCATTGTGACCTGTGGGGTCCATCTCCTGTTGTTTCGGTTGCCTCTTATCGATATTATGTTACATTTGTGGATGACTTTTCGCGTTTCACGTGGTTCTATCCACTTAAAAATAAATCCAATTTTTATGGAGTTTTTGCGACATTTATGGCTTTTGTTGAGACACAATCTTCTACAAAAATCAAGACTTTTCAAACTGATGGGGGTACGGAATTTTTAAACAATAAAGTAAAGGCTTTGTTACAAAGCCATGACATTTTTCACCGTATCTCTTGCCCTTGCACGCCTCAACAAAACGGGCGGGTCGAACGTAAACACCGCTATATTGTGGAAACGGGCCTTGCTATGATCGGGTTAAAAAAATTGATTGCTTTCATTTTATAAAAACAAATACAAATTTCGAGTTAAATCGTTTTTAATAAATTATGACACATGCTACTATAGTTTTGTAAGTATCATTGTTATTACTTTATATTGCCTTCATAGTTGTTATATTCTTGTAAACCATAGGATCTTAATCTAATAGTGATTTAATGTTACGTTATAGATATTTGGTTATTGTAAGAAATATATTTATATACATCATTTCTAAATCGTGATTTGAAGTTATAACAAAGTAAAGAATTGCACGCCTCAATAAAACGGGCGGGTCGAACGTAAACACCGCTATATTGTGGAAACGGGCCTTGCTATGATCGGGTTAAAAAAATTGATTGCTTTCATTTTATAAAAACAAATACAAATTTCGAGTTAAATCGTTTTTAATAAATTATGACACATACTACTATAGATTTGTAAGTATCATTGTTATTACTTTATATTGCCTTCATAGTTGTTATATTCTTGTAAACCATAGGATCTTAATCTAATAGTGATTTAATGTTACGTTATAGATATTTGGTTATTGCAAGAAATATATTTATATACATCATTTCTAAATCGTGATTTGAAGTTATAACAAAGTAAAGAATATATATATATATATATATATATATATATATATATATATATATATATATATATATATATATAACGTGCGGTGTAGTTTGAAGTGCAATTTTATAAATAGAAACCGCAAACCACACCATATAATGCGATTTGATAAAATGTTGAACCGCAAACCACACCACAAAATTCTAAACCGCATTATGCGGTGCTGTTTGGTGCGATGCGGGCGGTTTGTGCGGTTTTTTGCACAACCCTAGTTAAAACGACACTTCCTTACATTGTAAAAAGGCGTAACCTTACTCTATAGATAAGTGATTAGCCCTTTATTTTATACAAACAAAATAAAAGATACCTAGCTGTTGTCTATCTACTCATAACTTGTCAACAAACAAAATGGTCATTTCCTTTGTAATCTATGTGTCACATATGACGGACCTTACAAAGCTGAAGTGACCCTATTAAAGATTAAAACATTAAAAACATTTATTATCTTAGTCTACTTTTGAAACCGATGGATGCACAAGATTCAAAGACTTTTGCTCATTTAGCTAGAAGAGTTGTTAAATTACAATATGAGAAGGGCATTTCTGTCTTTTGCACATACTAATTTCATTAACTTGGCAAAAGTTTAGACCCCTTGGCTTTCAACTTTGATTCAAGCCCAAAAAACTTCAAACCAGAAAGCACTAAATCAGCTGTCTTCTTTTTCGTATGGTCAACAAGCAAGTCATCATACACAACCAAATCCGACTCGGTAACCATCTTATTCTCTCTCATAAGCAAAAAGACTTTTCTACCCTCCTCAATCGATCCATATCTACACATACCCGAAATCACCGCACAACATATCACATCATCAACCCTACAACCATCTTCCACCATCTCACTAATAACATCCATCACCTTTTTAGCATCATTTGATCTACACATATCAATAATTCTTAAAGTATACATAAACTTTCGAGGGGCGTTTTCGACATTACCTAAACATTCACGAATAAGTACAAATGCCGCATCGATTTCTCCAATTTTACAAAGCCCTTTAACCAATGACACGTAGGCATCAACCGAGGGTAATAAAGACATTTCCTTTATTTTATTGTAACACGTACACGCTTGATGAATATCATCGATTTCAATAAAGCACGAAACTACATTGCTATAAGTGAAAGAATCCGGCTCCATATTCGATTCCATTAATTCTTGAAATAAAGTTAACGCCTTTTTAACCTCTTTAATCTCATAAAGTGCATGAATGAGAATATTGTAAATCGGGACATTGTTATAGCCTTTTTGTTTTAAGTTATCAAAAACTTCTAAAGCCATTAAGACTTTATCTTTCTTTTCTACCAATAATGAGAAGAATTTCACAAGATCGTCCGTAACCCTACACCCTAAACCCTGAATCTGTTCAAGAAATTTGCAAAATTCATCGAATTTGTTCAATTCAACATATGAAAGTAATATCGGATTAATAGTATCGAAATTGGGTTGTAGATCTTCTTCGATTGTAACACGGAAAAGTTTAAGAGCTTTATTAACATGTTTCATGTTGCATAATCCTTTTATAAGATGATTATATATCATCAAATCGGCTCTATAACCCGAATCAATTAAATCTTTTAACAAATCACAAGCCATTCCAACTTTCCCTTCATTCACAAATCCTTCTATCATAGATCTGTAAATAGCTCTATCGATCAAATACCGATTTTGTTTCATATCTTTAAAGAATTCATAACCCTTTTGGACTCGATTTCCTTTACATAATCCCATAATTAAGGTTGTGTAAGCCATAGCATCAGGCTGGACATTATCACTCTCCATTTCTCCCCAAATCCTCAAACACCCGTCTAGATTTTGTTCTGAAATCAAGATTCTGATCATGGCAGTGTAAGCAAACACATCGGGTTTACATAATTTCCTCATTTGATTCAGAAGCTTGAGGGCCTCTTCAATTCGACCTTCTTTACATAATCCTTTTATCAAGATCATGAAAGTAATTCCCTCTTCCATTAATCCATCGTTTTTAAAATCGTTATATACAGACATGGATAAATCGAAGTGGTTGGTTTTCACAAGAGTGTCCATGATTCTATTGTACAAGAAAACCCTAGGTTTTACTCCGAATTTCTTCATTTTTTCATATACGTAGAATACCCTAAGACCCCTGTTAGCATCAGAGTGCATTCTAATTAAGATTTCAAATTGCTTCTCGGTTGGAGGCTTACCTTGCATGTTCATCAGCTCCGGGACCTGGTCAGCTGCCCGGAATTGGTTGTTTCTGTTTAAGCAATAAGAAAAGGCGTTATAGCTAGCGAAATCATGTTTATACCCTTTTTGTTTTCCAGCCCAATGGAAGAACTTGGAGGAGATAACTGGATCTGACTGAACTTTAAGTACCTCTGCAACGAGCTTCGGGGTTACGCGGCGGAGCTTGTTGAGATCGGCGACGACCGGCGGGCCCCAGTGCTTGTGTTTTCGGAAGGAGTCGACGATGTAACGGGCGATGGGAGAGAGCGTTTGGGCGACGGAGAAGTAATGTTCCGATGGAGAGGGTCGTGGTGATGAGGTGGAGATGGATTGTTCTGGGTTCCATTTTTCGAGATCGAAATTGGTGGTGCCTCGTTGGTGATTTTGACTGGGGTTGAGGGTTTGGCGATTGGAGAAAACGCCGCCGCGGACGGTGGGGCGATTTTGGGTAGGCTTGTGGTGGCCGTAGAAGAAGTTGAAGTTTTTGGGAATGGTGGTTGGCGGCGGACATTTGGGAGGCATTGTTGTGTACCGATTTTGCTAAAAGAACGCCTTCGTCGCTGCCTGCATCCATTGGACTATACAAAAACGGAAAATTAAAAATCAAATGTACGTTAAAAGGTTAAATGATAAATCATAAATGTATATACCAGGTAAACAGCCGCAAAAATATAAACAATGGAAGATATATGATTTGGCTGGAATCTAAGTCTCTAGTTTTTTTAGTTTTGTCTATATGATATAATACGATATTTTTATATATAATTAATATTTTTATATTTATTTTTAACTATTATTTATTTTTATAAAGTTAAAGCTATGTTTTGGTAAAATTTAGCGGAAGATACCCATAACTAGCTTTTTAGATAAAAATCATAAAATAGTAAATTACAGATTTGGTCCATATGGTTAGTATATTGTTACAGTTTCAATCCATCATTCAAAACTATAGCAAATGCAATTCTCATGGTTTCTGTTTCCGTCAACTTTGTTTCTTAACATCAATTTCGGTAGAAAATATAGGCTAATACTACCTGATAAATGAAATTATTTTTGTCACTTATCATCTTCTCTTTATTTTTAACAAATATCACTTTCTAGGATTTTTAAAATTGTTATTTTCCATTTATCATTTTTTGGGATTTTAATTTTCTTAAAATAAATTTCTAAAAAATTCCAATATATATTCATATTAAATTTTTATTTTTATTAAACCTGTGTAATATACGGGTCTTACACCTAGTTCATTATAAAATGATCATTTTACACTTACTTTACACTAACATTGTCTAATTTATATGTTGTATTTTATGCCTTTTTTTCTTTTTTTAATTGCTTTATCACACAAACATTATTCAACTTTCAAATATCTAACTTACAATAAAGAAACCAAATAGAAATTTATAACTTAAAAATCAAAACAAAAATCAATCTTTGAAATCAAAATCAAGATATGATGTTAACATATTATTTTTGTTCATTTTAAAAAATCAATATCCTATGTTAACAATATTTTTGTTCTCTTAGAAATCCATATAAGATGTTAACCGTAGTCTAAACCATAATCTAGATGTGATACTAACCCTAACCCCAAAGTAGAATAAAAAGAACATACAACATGAAGTATAATTAAAGCACAATTCAAATATTAATCCTAAATAAAAAAACCCAAATCATAAATCAGCATAACAAATTTTAGGACATGGCAACGATGAGGCCATATAAGGGATGGTGTAGGTTGATAGTTGCAAAGATAGCATAGAAGGGTGGAGAATAAGGAATATATAAGTAGGAATAATGGGAGTCGGGATGGACGTCGACGAAGTGGAGAACACAGGTGACGAGGGTAGATTAAGTAGGGCATAAGGTGATTGTTATGATAAGGATATAGATGGCATGTAGAGTACATAAGGTGTTAAAGCTGAAGTAGAAGAGAAGGAGCCGGAAATGGTTTTTGTAGGGCTAGGGCTACCGTCGGTTGTTGGAGTTTAGGCTCTTATTCTTTTTCATGTAAATTATATAAATGGTCCTTGAAGTTCACAAAATGACAACATAACAGAAAAGACAAAATAAGGGTAGTTTACTTATTTTACATGTGGTTAACGGAAATAGATATAAGGTAACAACAAAAATGACCAAATGTAACACACGTTTCCGGTGTGTAATTATTTATTTTAATGTTTAAAAAGAATAAATAATGATTGGAATATAAAAGTTTAGGATGTATTTTGCAATTTTTAGAAACTAATTGTGTGAAGAGAATTATGGGTTATGCGCATTATGTCATCAGAAACTCAGGGATCAAATATGTCATTTCTAAAAACTTATCACCCGTCACTTTCTCTTTAGTGACGTATCTCACGCTCTTATATTTTACCTTGTTTAGACCGGCATAATTGACAATCTGTGAAAGATAAATTATTCTCAGACCAAAACTCACGCTCTTGTATTTTACCTCGTTTAGGCACAGCTCACGCTCTTTTCATCCGAATTTCACTTCTTTCATCATTTATCCTTTCGATTTCTAGGTATCTAGGGTATTAGGTGTGAGCCAATAGAGGCGTTCATACTTGTGGCGCTTGTTTTCCATGACTATTGAAGAACAAAGGAATTAGTATATTCAATTATACTAAAAGCTATACTAATAATTTGATTTGTTTTTCATGTTGGTATATTAGATCGGCTTTGTTCAAAGTATGTTGCGATTATGAGAAAATTCATAGATTTCTAGGTTACATGTACCCATAAATTGTTTTTTGTGAATTCTTGTAACACTCGTGTTCCCAAGTATTTTTATCTATGGCATAAATTATAAAAAGTTTGTATTTCGGTCCATTACACGTGGCGTAGATTGCAGCTAAGCAAGGCATAGCTAAGAAAGTTGACGCATGCATTCAATGCAGTATGCAGAGTGTACCATGCGTATGCAAGACGTAATGTCGTTGAGCTCAAACCCTAATTTTTAGGGTTAAATCCCTATTTAAAGGCCTTATAACCCTTGAGGGCTCCCTTATCATCAGCCTCCATTCCCCCTTTCTGCCAATTCGCCCTAACCTTTAGAGCTTGTTTTTAACCAGTAAAGGGTTCTTAAAGCATTGTGGAAAAACGAGAAGCACATCATTGAGGATTATTGGGCTTGGAGCTTGTAGATCTAGAGTTTCCTTTACCTTTGCAAACTTTTGGAGGTATAATGTTCTCACCTTTATGATTATCTTGTATAGATCTAGGTTAGTTTGGAGATTTGCATGATTTTGGTCCCATAGTTTTGGTTATTGTGAGTAAGAGCTGCTCTAGAGCTTAGGATTAGCATTTCTTGGTATTTCTGAGGTTCTTATGTCATAAAAATTGGATCTTGAGGGTTTTATTCCTCGCATGCATGAGTTGTTGGTCATTTTGTGAATATATGGACCTAGGGTTTGATGTTGGGCTCTACTAAGCCATGAAAAAGCTTAAATTTGTCAACTTTATCAGTTAAGACCTTCCTAAGACTTAAATCTACGAATTGGTTGTTTGGACTTTAGGTATTAAGAGCTTAAAAGTGATTTTTGGACAATAGAGGTTTACATAGGGGATAACATCTATGTACGCATTGTGTGACGAGTTGGCCCATTATGCCTTTTCTGTGGACACCAAGTACGTTGGGCGTAATGCAAGAATACGCATGGTGTACTTCCAGAAGTCTATTTGGGCCATTTTTGGACCTAGGGCCATTTTAGGCCTTGGGTCATGTTTAGTTGGGTCTAGTATAAGAAGGGTAAAATGGTCCTTTACCCTTAGTAAGGATCCTTTATAGCAGTAGTATGTGTGTGATTCGGATATCTTTAGTGTAACAGCCGAGTTTCCAGGTATATTATTTAATTTAATTATTTTGAATTATGAGAAGGAACTCGGCGAGTTGATGCGTAGACTCGCCGAGTAGGGTCGTGATTGTTCATCCGGATTCGCTTTGGACTCGGTGAGTCCATGAGTGGACTCGGCGAGTCCACGCTGTTTAATGAAACCCTAAATCCCCGGGTTTGGAGCCTATTTAAGGGCACTTATAGCCTCTCATTGCGGCTACCAATCCCTTGAAAGAACCCTAAGTGAGCCAAATCGTTGAAAGGAAGAAGAAGACACTTTTGATCCTTGTATCTTTGGTTTAGCAAGAAGGAGGAACAAGAACAAGAGGGGAGGTGCAATTCTAGCAGTTCCAGGGATTCAGAGACTTCATTTTGAGGTAATAGTTCGAACCTCCTTCAGTTTTGGTGTTGATCTATAGAGTTAGGGTTTTCTAACCCCTTTGGAGAGTGATTATGTGGAGCAAATGGTCCCTCTTCGAGTTTGTGCCTTGGATCTGGACTCAAAGAGGTCGAGAGACCTTAACCCTTGGAGCTTTATGGATTAGTTTGGGATTATTGGACTTAGGTTCCATTTTTGGGACTAAATCACCTTTTGATGCCTTGTTGTTGTTATACAAGCATCAAGTTTCGAGCTTTACGTGACATTCATGCTTGGGAAGGCCATATCTTTGATTTAGGAAAACAAATTTGACCTCAGGAGGCCAGTAGAGTTTGTGCATGGCATGAACTCGCCGAGTTGTTCCTGAGACTCGACGAGTAGGGTTAGGGTTTCACGTAAATTGCTCAGTGAGTAGACTTGTTGGGTTGGGGGATGACTCAGTGAGTCAGAAAGGAGTTAGAGTACTGGAGTTCAAGGCGACACTCGCCGAGTTGTTCTTGAGACTCGGCGAGTTGAGTCGTGGTGGCCCCGCGATTCATGCCTAGTATGATTGTCAAGCATAGACTCGGCGCACCAAGCAGGACAAAGTGTTAAAGAACATGTGTGAACTCGCCGAGTCACCAGAGTGCACTCGGTGAGTAGGGTCAAAGTGTGACCGTTGACTTTTAGGGTTTGGTCAATGGAGTTCTTGTGTTGAGAAGGGGGTAAAATAGCCTTTTTCCCTCCTGAGGGTGCCAAAGGCAGGTTGAGTCTAGTCTTAAGAATTATATTTATAAGAGTACTTACTTTATGTGAATATGTAACGCCCGCAGATTCGGGCTAGTCAATTTAGAGGCAATAGGGGTCGAAAATGACTTTTCGACAAAAGATTATTTAGAATAAATAATCTTAACAAAGTTTTAGAATATTTCACAAGGTTTCTGTACATATAAAGAACGGCAAAACCCGAGTTATAACGAAGAAGTTATGGTTCGTCGAAGTTTTACGGCAAAACCGGCACAGCACCGGGAAGCGTAAATAGTGAATTTACAATGGAAGAATTTTTAGCCTTAGTGATCTAAATGAAATTCGTAGAATATGTTAAACTAAGAGCGTCAATAAAAATAACGCCCAAATCTGACTTTGTATGAGGAAGTTATGATTTTTCTAAGATTCGGCTTAGCAGTGTACAGCCCGAAACTCGAATTTTAGTTCGAGCGGTTTTTGGCTTACGCGACCTAAATGAGAGTTGAATATCTCATTAATAGGAACTCAACAGTAAAAAGACAGACGAAAACGGAGTCCGTATGAAGGAGTTATGAATTCTTCACGGTCATTTAA